GCCTTAGAAAATTGAAAAGTGTGCTATTAGATATATTTACGAAAATGAATAATTAAATTATTAAATTAAAACGTATCAATTTTTTTTAATTAACTCGTTTGTGAAGTTTATTAATTAAATTCGACCATTGGTGTATAGAATAATAATCCTTTAAATATACCAAGGTAAAAGTTAAAAATTTTCTATTAGGGCCCGAAGTTGAGATAAAACAATAAAAATAAAGTACAAATTTATTTATGTTCTTATATGAATGGTATGAATTTACTATTAATTTTTCAATTGGTTCAATTTTACATCGTACTTTTAATTTTGAAGCAATTTTATTATCATACTTATAATTTTAAAGCAATTAAAGAATATTCAGTAAAATATTCTATTAAAAACTGTTTTACAATTAAAAATAATTTTGAAAATGACATTATAGGAAAAAAATCATAAAATTAAAATATAAAATTTTCTTTTTATTTTATTTCTTTTTTTGACATTTTTTTATTAAAACATAATACTATATAATCTGAATTTTTTTCATTTTTTCTTTCATTATGGCATTTTCTTTATTCTAAAATTAAAAGTGTAGTGATATAATTGCATCAGCAAAAGTTTAATGGTAAATTTAGACAATTCACATAAGTAAAATAGTAAATTCATACATTATCCCAAAAAATTTTCAATACACAAAAACTCAAAAAAATTCATAAAAATACTCAAAAATTTAAAAAACACATTGATTTTTTTTTTTTGTACAAAGAAATCCGTAACTTGATAATAGATAAAAGGATTGCAGATACTAAAATTTAAACTTTAAATATACCGAATATCATCTTTTAAGAATAATTACATAAACTAATTGAATTACACCTTAAATTTATACCCATTGAAATTTAACGTAATGTGGGTAGGACAATCTTTTCCATATAAGATAAATGAAAGATTAATTTAGAATGGTAGTATAGTATTTTATAATTATAGTTTTTGTTCAATAATTTTATTGAGAACTTGACAAAAATAAGTTTAAAATGTTCACACTTTTAAATCTATCCATTCAATTTCTTTGTTGTGATGATCACCAATTTTCAGCTTAATTAGTCATATAATTAAAGAATAATGAATTTTATGATGCTTTTCTTTTCTCTTTCTTTTCATTTTAGTTGGTTTATACATAACATGAGACAAATTATGGCCGAAAAATCAAAAGAAAAGATAATGGAAAACTTTTAGAAAAAGTGTTGACATTAATACTAACTAATTACTGTATAATGAGATGTTAATTGGAAAAGGGCACAGTGCATGCTAAATTAATGATGAATAAAGTTGATATATTCCTAACAAATTTATCTTTTTACTTTTTTTCTGTCTTTCAATGAAAGTTTATCAACTTTGTTAGTGCTTGTTCTTTTCATTTTTAGTAAGGATGACTCTTGCCTTATGTCATTTAGAACATTTTTCTCATTAAGAAATATTAATTACGTTTATAGTGTTTTTATTTTATCATTATTATGTCATTATTTGTATTTTCGTTAGTAATTTATCGTAATTATCGATGAAAAAATTCTATTGATAAAAATCCGCCGGTATTAGACATTATTTATGATAATGTTAATTCATTCATTCAAGTTTCAAAACAACTCACATATTTTAATTGGGACCTTACTTAGGTCACACTAAGAGATTAAGATTTAAGATTGGAATTTTCAATTTCTTACAAATTAAAAATATCTTAATATAATTTGCATGAAAAAGAAGTAAGTGTTCAAGAGTCAAATTACCCATCAAGCTCGTGGGATTGGCATGACTTAGGCAAGACTTCGAACATGATTTTTAGGCTCAAGTCAAGGATTAATTCGAATATATTATTAATTAAAAAGTTAATATATTTTTATTTAATTTTTATCATAAATATAATATTATAATAAAATAAAAAATAAATTTTAATATTTTAATAATAAACATAAAAACCGGGCTAGTCTCTGAGAGTAAACCAAGATTTTCAAAGTGTCAACCCTTATAACTTAGTTTGTGCTATCAATTAACTTAAAGCTGCTTTTGGATTCTATTAAACCTCTTGTGGAGGCGCGATTGTTAGAGAAATTTGTGCCAAAACGGTATTAGACATCCATTAGGATGTCGCAGCCGCAGCACAGTTGGAGGCTTGAATCTCCATTTCTCCGCTGGTTGTTTTTGTTTAGTGAGAGAGTGAACCTCACTCTTTTTGTTTTATTCCATTTTCCCCTTAATTTTATGTTAGAAAGACAAAAACGTTTTCATAATTTAACTTTTCTCTTTTTATTTCATTTTTATTTTTTATTTAAAATTATGAAATATGATAAATAAAATTATTATTATATAATAAATTATTTTTATTAATTTTTAATTATCTATTAACAAAATTATTATTTATCATAAAAAATAATAATTTTATAAATGTTAAATAATTTAAAATTTTATTACGTATTAATTTTAATCTAATCTCCTTAATAATTTTTTTTTCTCATCACAATTTATCTCACCATTATTAATTTATACATCCAAATATTTATACATTGTTAATTTTATCTCATCATTATAATAATTAATTTTATATTAATTATTATTTTTAATTATCCTCCATCCAATTCCATATTTATTCAAGTCGAAAAATCAACCACTAAACCAGCCTGCACAAAGCAATTCAAATTTGTTTCACCGGATTGGCTGGTTGAAGAAATTTTATACTCTGGGTCATGGGCCTACTGTGCGAGAGCTAAGAATGGTTTGTGGTCTGCCTTAACACTTGAACTTGTCTAACAAGCCTGGCCCGAAGACAACCTCTTTTTGCGCTGTCGCTTAATTCAAAGTTAAATGTGGGATGTTTATCAACTATTTTGTTAGACTCCGAATTTACCCTTGTAGTTTAATTTAATTCCTTTTTTAGGGACCCAAAATTTATTGGTGAAGGATTTATAAAGATTTAGAAGTTTTGGTTTCGAATCAAAAATTTTTTTTTTCTTTTTATAAAAGTTATGTCTTCCTTGAACCAAAAATTAAAAAAAAAAAAAAATTTAGACAAGCGGAAAATCCCAAGGATGAAATAAAATTTGGATAAACATCTTACATTAGAGTCACAATATCCTTTTATAAAAAATAATAATAATAATTAAAAACTCATTAGCATAAAATGTTGTTTATGTAAAAAAATTATTAAAAGTACGTGGTAATGGTCTACCTCAATTTCCAAAGCATTTTTCATCTCAATTTATTTGATTTTATGACTTTGTTTCGTAAAAAAATAATGATTAATTGAATTCATAGTTTTTTATTTTTTAAGATTACGACATCATCCTCATTCTAATGAGGTTCTGTTATCTTCGATGATACGTCATTAATACTCTCAAATTGATTTGATATTAAATATTACAATTTAAATCAATTTGTAAGATGTTATCCATTTTATTTCATTAAGTCTCATAATTTTGTTTTACATAAAACACCTCATAAATTAAAAATAGTATGAAAATTTATATTTCAAATTAAATTTGAATACAAAATTAGGGGTAATAATTGTTCAAATCGGATTAAATTCGATTTGATTTTTTAGATATTACATAATATTATAAATTTTAAAAATTTAATTCAAATTTGAACTGATTCGAATTTCACTATTTTGGTTCGGTTTAGTTTATCAAATTTTGAAATTTAAAATTTTTTTATATTATTTTAATATAAAATTTTAATATATTTAAAAAGATTTTGATATAAAATTATTATTTTTATTTTATAAAAATTTTAAAATATATATAAATAAATAAAAATATATAATTTAATTTAATTCGATTCTATTTAAACTTACTATATAAATTTAATATTTAAATTTAATTCGAATCAAATAAAAAAAATTCAAATCAAACCATATTTTATGATTTCAAATTAATTTTTAATTTTTTTAATTATTTTATCGACCCTATACAAAAGTCGATACGAGATTCATAACTTCGTATGGCCATAACAACATGCCAATGTTGAACACATACTAGGTATATCCCAAGTCCATATTGGACAGTAAATAATCACCTTTGTTGGCTGACGATAGTTCCATGAGTATGCGACATGGATCCTAAAATGCTATTTAAGGACACATTTATGATCGTACCAATTGTAAAACTGCTTTGGATATATAATTCTCTCCAATATTCCAATCAGTGGAAGAGAAGAGACTTTATATGTGTAGGGCCCAACATGATATGTCCCAAATTCCAAAAAAAAAAAAAATGCTTTGCAGGTCGCTTAAACACCTACTTCCATAGCAATATCTCAGCTTTATGTTTGTTTAATGACTCTCAAGTCTTTCCCCCTCCTGCATAAATACTCCAACAAAGACGATTCATTTAAAGGATAAAGACTGTGGGAAAGAGAGAGAAAGTGAGAGCTTTGAGTAGAAAGAAAGCAAGACAAAAGGGCAACCAAAAACCTTGCTTTGATTTTTCCCAATGTGAAGCAAGCATATATGCCAAATTTGCATGAACAACAACAGCAAAAGAAAATAATTTTAAAGTGAGATCAAAGAGGTATTGATCAGGGGGCAGTGAACAACTTCCTTTAAAATACACCTTCTGTTACACCTTTTAATCCCTTTTTAGTATTCTTCATATTTACATTTCTTAGCAAAAGTGATTTACTTACACCAAACCAACAGTCGCGTAATCTGTTAATAGAGTCTTAGATTCTTAGTTTCGGTTACTAGAGTTTAAATTATGGTGATTTCAAGCATAAAAAAAACTAACTTAAAGCAAAGTGAGCTGCTCAAGAATAAAATCTTTAATGGCCAACCAAGCCACTTGTCCCCCTTCCTTGCCTTGCTTGCACCATTTCGCTAGTTCTCTCCATCAGGACCCTGCCTTTATATATGTCTCTACATCACTCTTCTGCCATCTCAGTAGTCTTTGAGTGGTTCGGAGTTTGAAGTTTTAGCAAGTTAAAACAGGTTCGCCCTGGAGTGTTTTGTCTGGCATTGCTGAAAGTGAGTCATGGAAAACAGGATTTTCATGCTGCTTCTTTATGCAACAATGGCAGCCACTCTGTTCATACATTGCGGTAAGCTGTTTTCTGCTACATTATTGATCAATGCCATTTAAGTGAAATTCAGCTCAAATTCTGGGTTTTTTCAACCAATTCTGCACTGTTTAACTGGATAAATGATCAACTGTGCAGATTCTGAAAATCTCTGGTTTTTTTTTTTTTTTTTCTGTAGTTTTTCTCCTTTTTAGATCGAGTAGATTTGCACCCAAATTTTTTAGAATCATCTTTTGCTATAATCGTTTACACATCAAAATTTCCATGTTTTCAATGTAAACTTGATTCCATGGTGTAAATCTACTCCATGAACCATGGCATGGAAATGTATGATGCCTTCAACATGAAGATTTTTGTTACTATCAACTTTTATTTATTTAATCCATTGTGTTTGCTGATATGCCATCAACTTTTAGTTCTTGAGTCTGACGACAAGTCAAAAGGTTACTTGGAATATACTAAGTTTGCTTTGCCACTAAGTTTCTGCTTCAAATCAATATAGCTTATCAAATCTCAACTTCATGTAAATTTTTTAGTACCAAAGCGATCGGAGCTTAGGGATAGGGATAGAAATTGCATATACTGAAATTTGAATCTTAAACCTATTAAATACCAGTAACTGCATGAAATAATGAGTTAAACTCAGGGTTCCAACTTTATGTAATTTGCATCTTTTTCAATCAACAAGATTTAATTAAAGAGACCATGAATAACAAGATGCTAGAATTAATGCATTACAGAACTGTGAGGGAATTAACCTTAGTTGAAATGAACTAGAGGGCAGAAATCATTACATTGGGATGATTAACTGTAAATCTCTTTGTTTTTTGCTTTTGGGCAGATGCAAGAAAATCTATGGGACTAGTCAAAGATCCAAAACATGCAAGGAGTTCAGTCATAAAGCACACAAAGAAATTGCAACTAATGAGTAAGCTTATGAGTTTAGTGATTGAACAACCTACTGATTCATCTAATACTCAACCTTATGGTGTGAGCTCACCATTTTCTTTGCCACCATTTGAGTCTCTCCCCCCTGTAAATTCTCCTCCTTATTGTGTTAACCCCCCTGCAACCCCTGCTACAATCATTCCAACTCCCATTGGAACCATACCCTCCCCACCATCACCCTTTTACAACGTCCCTCCTGTTCTTCCAGGCCAAAGCCCACCACCAAGCTCAGGTGGAACTGTTCCAAGCCCATCCGTATTCCCTGTCAGCCCGAATCCACCACAAATTGTTCCAAGCCCACCTGGTGGTGTTCCAGGACCACCACGAGCAATACCAACACCAACAATTTATATTCCAAGCCCATCAGGGCCCTTGTTAAGCCCACCTTTTTATGAGCCCATCCCACCAGCCGTTGTCGTGAGCCCACCATTCTATGTTCCACCTCCCTTTGGGTTTAATCCAATACCACCAGTGTTTCTACCACCAATTGTGTACCCTCCCCCCACGGTTCCACCACCTCCCTTTGTGGCTCCAAGCACAGCCTTATGGTGCGTGGCTAAGCCATCAGTGCCTGACCCAATTATTCAAGAAGCTATGAACTATGCATGTGGGTCTGGAGCAGATTGCGATTCAATTCTGCCCAGTGGCTCATGCTTTCACCCTGACACCTTGTTTGCACATGCTTCTTATGCTTTTAATAGTTACTGGCAAAAAACCAAGGTTGCTGGTGGCACATGTGAGTTTGGAGGCACAGCCATACTCGTCACAGTTGACCCAAGTGAGTTTCCCAATTGAATTTTCCTTTTAAAGTACGAAACCTGCAATAAAAAACCATCCCACTCCTCTTAACCTTGCTTTCTTTTGTTAAATCAACTTGGAATTTGACCCTATAATGTTCTGTTGTTTTATTTAAGGTAATAATAATTACCTAGCCAATTGGTTTTGAATATAAAGCATTTTATTGAGAGGGTTAATATTACAAATACGTATCATTCAATTATAATAAAATATTAAATATTATATTTAAATTTTAAAAATCTTTAATGATATTTTTAAATTATAAATGTATTAATATAATATAATATTTATTTTTAAATGATTAGTTATAATAATACGTAATGAATAAATAATTTTTAAAATATCATATTAATTAATAGATTCATAATTTACATATTACATTAAAAAAATTTTAAATTTAAATATTTTATTAAATATTTCACTATAGTTTAATAGCTATCCGTAACATTAACCCTTTTGCTAATTTGTGTTAATTCATTTTGTTGAACCATCAGGCTATAATGGTTGCCACTTTGTGTACCATTGATCGGTGAAGATATGTCTCTCCTCTCGGCAGCTAGAAGACTGATCTCTTTTTTTTTTTTTGGAATTTTTTTTTCCTTTTTTTTCCAATAAAGAACGTAGATTTTCCTTCATTTTACCATGACCCAAACATAAATTTTGTAAGTATAAAAGTTACATGGTATAGACTTTCTTAGGTGATCCCATTTGGATTTAGGGTTTTTCTTCTTTTGTGGGGTTTATATATAGTTCTTGCCTTTGGAAATTTTCTTAAATGGGATCCACCTCTCCCTTCATGAGATTTGTACATTGCATTGCGAAGTCTTGAAATATACATGACAGATCAATAAAATGGGAGATGACAATGTTTTTATTTAAGTGCCTTGTTTTGATGGTGTAAGGCCATAGTTTCACACGAGATATTCTGAGGATCCATTGTACATATGTATAAATTTATATTTATATTTTAAAGATATTTTTTTTAATAAAATTACAAAAATTTCGTATCAAAATAAATAATATTTTATAAGTTGATTATAACTAAAGATAATAATTTAACTTATATCAAATAGATTTCGATTTAATTTAACCTTTTAAAATCATTTTTTTTTTAAATTGAGTTCAAGTCGGATCGAGTAATTGTAGATTAAAATCAAAATCTGGTTTTAGACAAATCTACTTCAACTTGACTTTATATATATATAATTATTTTTTAATTATTTATTTAATTTTATATTTATATATATTTTATTTATTTAATTTTAATTTACATTAAAAAATAATATTTTATTAATTCTAAATCAGATTGAATACGATTTTATATAATATCAAGTTTGGGTATAAAAAGTTAAAAAAAAAATCGGATAAGATTGAGTTCGAGTATTATAGATATAGAGTTGGATTAGATTCGAAATGAAAAAAATCCAGTTGACCCGACTTGTTACTATCCTTAATTAGAGTTTTTTATAATATGAAATTAAAATGTTATAATTGAAATTTATTATCTACTTTTCATGAACTGCATTTTTGTAAATTTTTCACTTGGATTTAAACTTCTATTAAGACTTTTCGTTTGTTATTTTTTGGGTAAATATGAAGGTTCATTGAGATTAGGGTAAAGTTCTTTTCTAATTTTGTAAATCCCAATACTCTTTTCCTTTTAGGTATCTCCTTGAAGATTTTTATTATGTATAATTTCCTTTTTATAATTAATATTATGTACAATTTTTCATTACATTACATTCGCTTCAAAGAAAAAAATGATAAATATGAATAATTCATCTTTAAAAGTCAATTTATTAAAATAAGCTAAAATTTTAATTAAATTTTGAATTTCTTTTTTCAATTTGGATAAAGTCAAATGAGAAGAGCTAATTTGGAAAAACTTAAATATAAAAGCTTACTAAAAAAAAAAAAATTCATTGATTATTTTTAATATTGTAGCACATATGTACATATATTTACAATCAAGGCCCAACAAAAGCCCAACTTAATCATTTCCTCACTAAAACGACGCCGCTTAACCTGAGAAATTAAACGACGTCGGTTCGGAAGATCAAAACTGAAAATGGCTTGAAGCTCGACCTCTTCCTTCCTCCCCTGACTCGTGATCGCTAAGCCACCACACAGATCGGACTCTTCTCTTTTCTCTCAATCATTCAATCTTTTGCAATGAAGATATTATATCTTCTCCTAATTTCCTCACTCCTCTTCTCATGTTCTAGGGTTTGCTCTCTTTCTCTCTGTATTAATTTATTCGATATAATTAGATGTGACACTAATAAATTGTTTTAATTGATTCGATTGTTGCTGATTTTGTTTCCGTAGGCTGAATCTACCGGATCCGTTTTCTTCATCGATAGTTCAACTCATCAATTTCTTCGCACTCAATCCTCCGACGATGTCTCTCAGGTTTTTATTTATTTATGTATTTATCCTCTAATTCAATTCATTAATTTCTAATTAGGTTTCAATCGATTTATAATTTATAATGATTTTAAGTATCAAAAGATTGTTGATGGTTTAAATTTAGTGATTCAGTTGTATGTAAATGTTTTACTATGTATAACGACTTATTATTATTGTTATTGTTGTTGTTGTTGTTGTTAATGTTAAAGATCGTACTGATAACTGATATTACTATCATTTTATTGTATTTTTTATATGATAAAAGTGCTTTTAATGTCTTCTTAGATGGAAATTGGATGGTAGGGGAAGCATTTTTCGCGTAACTTTTTTTTTTTTTTATGACGCGAATTGAGATTGAAATATCATGTCTTGTTCATGTATCTAGTTTTTAATCTCATTTTGTACCAACTTCCTCAGTTCCAATTCCTTTTTCTTTTTTCTTTTTTTTTTTTTTTCCATATTAACAGTCAGAGTCAATGTTGTTACCTGAAGTTGGTGCGGCCGTATCAGTTTTGCTTGGTTTTGCACCACCCATTACGCTTTCAGCTGCTGGTTCATCTAAGGTCACTCGCTAGTTATCAGTCCTGAGCAATAATCTTTTAGTTTCCTATTTCTTTTTTTAATAGAAGCTTTTGTTGAAAGATATTCATTCTTTTTTGCAGCTAAATGAGGTTCTCATTCCTAATCCATTTGATAGACCTCGTGCTGTTTTTATGCTTGAAGTCAGTGGAATTGATGGTACGTTCACTTTATGTCAAAGTTCATTTTCTTTGTTTTCTTCTTCCCCACTACCTTCTCTACATTTTGTTTAAATAAATTTTCTTCTGTCTTCAGATCCTCTTGTTGTTGACCCCAAGAATGCTCTCTTCAGCAAAGCCTTGAAGAGTAGTGTTGATCTTGGTTTAAATGAAGCGGACATTCAGCTTCCAGGTACTTGACCTTTTGTCTAGTTGTAAAACTAGTGGATTTAGTTATAACTCATTGTTTTCTAGATTTTTCCTCAATGTATTTATTCATTAGGATTTGTTTGTTATATGAATTTTCTTGCAGATGAAGAGGAAGTATCTGTTATTTCTTTGGACGAGCCTCTTGGGGATTACACTGAAGAAGAGATCAACGACTTTGTTAGTTTATTATTCTAGGCTTTAGTTAATATCTGTGTTGTTTGTCTTCCATTTGATTTGGTCACACATGTGACAGTGGTTTATACTTTATATCTATGTTTAGGGATCTTGGTTGGGTGGATCATATGTCAATGATGCTACAGAAACTCTGCATGGAGTGTTGACAATTCCCTTGGCAAATGGTGACAATGTGAATCTTCATATGTCAAAGGTCTTATTCAGGAGCAAATTTTTATCTGCTGTTTTATGAATTTCTTTTGACTGACACTGGTCTGGTAGTAGCAGTAGTATTTTGTCTTGAATTTTCATTTGCCTCATTGATAGCTTTAGGTTTCGATTGTTTGCAGAAAGTCCACAGGGAATTTGCATTGAAACTGCTTGCTCTGTCTCACAATATAAGGAAAGCAATAGAGATTCATGAAGATTTGTCACAGACTTTGCATAGACCTGCAGAGTTAATAATGGGTTATTTTGATGGAATTAAGGTACTAAACATATAGACTTGATTTGGCTACTATTAGTACTTTGTTTTTATAGATTGATGTCTTGTCTGAAATTATATTTGGAAATCATCATGTTTAAGTGCAAGGTTTCTTTAATCTTTTTCATCCCACTGTCCATGATTAAAATTCCTTGTTAATCCATTAATGAGGAAGGAAAGGGTTTGTTTGCATTGCAGTTCTTTTTGTTAAAACTGAAATGTAGCTACCCTTCTAAGACATTGCGACATTGTTCCCCACTGACAAATGGCATTCTTACCTGCCATGCTTGTTTGGCCTTGTAAAATGTCTCTTCCGTATTAAATGAATGTGTTAGGAAGATGTGTCTTTGTATGTTCAAGCATGAATGTTACTTGTTGTTCAATATTGATTAACACTACTCTAATTATTGACCTCAAGAGTAGAAAATGGTTAAATTATGTTTCTATCTTTCTATGTAGTTATGTATTTTCATGCTATTGTAATGTCTGGACTGCCTTTTGTTTATGTTTGCTTCCTCATCACGTAGCCCCTTGCGAATCCTTTTAATGTTTCCAAAAACAAAAAAAAACTTTCAGGCTTTGCAGGAGCACGACTACACTGTCAGTTTTGATAAGCAAGGAATGAGGCTTCTTCTTGCCACACTTTCCAAGATATTTGATTCACTGCAGACTGCATATGAAGGTTGGTAACAGTTGAATACTCCATATTACTAATCAATTAAGATTGAGAAATATGTTGTTATTCCAGTTTGTGTCCACCTTTTACATGTTCTCTGTATACATACATACATACATGCATGCATACATGCTAATTTATGTGAAATTCTGTATACATTTATGCTGGTGATAGGATTCTCAAAATTTGTAGTGAATGCTTTTCATCTCTTGAGATATTGACAGGATTTGTCTTTCTATTTCACCCTTTCGTCATTCCCTAGCTGCCAATTTATTTAACAAATCTAATTGATGATTGGGCAGGTCAAATTGTTGGAGTCATTGTCTTCAAGGGGGTACCTCAGCCAGAACCAAAAACATCGATGAATGTGGTGATTACCTCTCGGCCATCTCCACGTTGGTTGGCAGAAACAAAAAGCTCACCTAATACCACCCTTGCTGCACAAGTTTTGGTTAGAAGGACCCTTGCTTGGGTAACTGGAGTTGTTCTTCTCATTGCAACTCTCTTGGGGGTAAGATCTGTTTTAACGATTAATTAAGTTAGATGCCAGTGTTTACTTAGTTCCAAGAGTGCTTTTTTAATATCTGATGTAACATTGAAGTTCCATGAATTTTCTAGAATCCCATAGCACAAAACCAAACAATCCTAAGCCTTTTGACAAAAGCTGAAAGTTCTTTTATCCCAGTTTTTCCAATAATCAAAAAACTCATACAAAGTTTTGACCTGATGTACACTTAGTCAGAGGTGTCAACTGTCTTTTTCTTTCTTCCAAGATTTGGAAAACAATGCAATTATTCCATCTTACAGCCAAGCAGAAACTTTCCATTCTCAAGTCAAAATTACAAAATGTAGACCGTGTTTTTCCTTTGTCTAGGATATGTATAGATTAGACAAATTCTGGTTTTCATACTGCTTGCAGCCCGATGATTGATTTCAAACAAGAATTTGGGACATTGTACTGCCAATAAGTTAGTAGGATCCAAGAGAAAATTATAGGACCCTTTGGGAAAGGATTAAAAAATTCTCTCTCTAGATTGCAAGTGGCAAAGATTTTGGTCTATGTCTTAATTGTCCATATAGATCTACATTATCTATACTTTAACTGATTTAGGAGTTCTCATGACAATATGCTCTTCATTTATTGGTTGTTCCTGTAAGACTGTTAATAGAAGATATTTCTTGTCGAGAACTGTGGCATTTGATATCCATTCTTGGTTTGTGTTTTATTTTTCTTACTGCAGGTTTACTTCCTTCTCAATATGCCACTGACAAGGGACACACTTTTATATTCTAATGTCAAGCTAGACTAAGCTGAAATAATGCAAAAAATAATGAATATTTGAACTCTTGGAAGCGGCCCTGTATGATTTATCTTTTATTAGTGGGAAATTCAGGGATATCTTATTATCTATGAAGCTGTTTCATTCCTTGGTTATTCAATGACATTGTATAGGTTAATCCGGCGAACCAAATGCTCTATTTTCTTAGGCATTAGTAGCTTCATCAAGTAGAAATTAGGCTATTTTCGGGTACCATTTGGCCAAGAGAGTGCAATTGAGAGAGGAAGATTGAGCTTTATGATTGTATCTATATGGTGTTCAAGGGTAGCTTGTCTTTATCCATATGATTTTAAGTAGATTTGCCTTGTGTATTCAGTTGTCAATGTTTGTTTATGTCACTTCATAAACTGATATGTATTTTGAAACTCCGAATAATGAAAATTTCTCATCAATCATGGAACATTGGTGTAGAAAATGAGCATCGTGAACAAATCTTTTTGTTCAAATCCAATTTCTTTGACAAATTTTGAAGGACTTTCTGCAGGTTGGATCTGTGAAAATAATAAAAGAAGCAAAAACAATGAAATTTCCTAGCTGAAAATTCCTTGTATATTGTTATTTTGATTGGGTTGGGAATGTAAAACAATGAATTTTCCTAGATGAAAAAATTGCAGGTGCTGTAGCGTACTACACAAATCATATGAATGGCAATGAAATTTCAATGATGTTAATTTGCCAAGTCTCTTTAGTGTTTATTACTGCTTTATTTTAGCTGCAAAATTGAGCTGAAAATCATCACCCATTGCCAGTCCTTTCCTTCCAAACTCTTTTTCTCTGCGTCTCTTCTTCTCCTTCACCTAATTCCTCAAATTTCGACACCAAATAAACCCGGTGGCTCCGAGAAGAGCAACGGTGGCTAAACGAGAAAGAATGTCTACTCTGATGAACAAGTAAAAACAAAGATACCACAAGTAGGAGCCATGCTGTTCTTTCTTTTATAATGAATATACTGCAATTGTGCAACATAGCTCAAACATGACCATTTTCAAAGTTGACAACTGCTTTTGATTGCATATTATAGCTTTCAGTGCCCTACTTTTCACAGTTTTCCTTCCGGAATTAACTACTCTTACTCGACATTTCTTTACTGTAGAATGTGATGGAACAGGTGAACCAAATGTTGAACGATTTTGCTTGTTCTTTATATGATATAATTAAGAGATCTAAATCCAAATCCTCCCCCCCCCCCCCCAAAAAAAAAAAAAGAGTCGTATCTAGCCATATTGATGATTTGAGTAGTTTTTGTGATGCCTTTTAGGAATGGATGGACGGGGGAGCCAACTATACATACTGTGACGGCCTTAGGTATACAATTTGTGATGTATGCCAAGCAAAGGCAGCGTTTTAGGTATTGTAACATTCATTAAACAAACTAATATTGCATGGAAAAAAACTAGCAATATTACATGGAAATCTAATTCATATGCTTTCATGTTTTAAATCATGTTATCGTATTTTAAATTATCGTGTCTAATTGACCCCTAATAAATTTGGGGGCAATGCAGTGGGGAGCTCTTCCAATTGCACTGCTATATGCTCCCAAATAGTTATGAGTTACAATCCATTTGGTCTTCCAAGTTGGTTAATCCATCTTTATGGAAAGCAAGATAAGTTTGATCCAAACTCAAAAATACTGAAAGCAATGGCTGTCTCGTGTTGCACTTACATTTAAGACAGACTATAAAGAAGGGGCTAAAAGCCACTTCAAACTTGGTAATTATAGTTTCCTAACACCAATTTCCTACAGAGTTCTGTCTAATAGTCTACCAACTAGTTTAGCAAAAATGCACCTTAAAATGCCAACAGCTGCGTGCCACGTGGATTGCTGCTAGAGTGTTGAACTATTAATTCTAGTGATTATAGGATTCAAATCCTGACAAACTTCAAGTACGAAAAAAAAGCACCTCGAAACAAATTCAAGTTAAAATGGCAGCTACTGCATATAAGCAAAGAGAAGGCCTATGAGAAGGACACCAGCAGATACTAAAATGGGGGCTTATCGAAAATAATTTTGCATTACTCCAGAAATCAAAGATACCAATCCAAATTCAGTAATGCGGTAAACTGACCACTTAATGTAAAAATACACTGCAAGCGCCACAATTTGAATTACTATGACAGAAAATACTGTTAAAAGATGGAATAGCCTTTTATTGGGAATAAAGTTAAACCAAAATATAACCCTTAGAAATCCTCTATACCTTTTCCTGTGAAATATCTATGACCATGAGAATGTTGCTTCTATCTGCACATTATCAGGTTTGAAATTTCCTTCATATATGTCTGCTACAGATTTGTCTTTGGTTTTCCACCAGCAGTAATACGCCGTGAAACAGACCGCATGGTCACAAACTCCTCCGCAGCAGAAGGATGTATGCCAACCTGTAGGAAAGAGTTCAAAAGACTTGCACGGTAAGATGATACGCTGACATATTACAACAAAGAGTCGAAGGAATTCTAAAAAAGGGACGAGTGGAAAGCCAAGGGCAGATAATGCTTGAAGAAAGAAAAATCTAAAGCCATCTCCTCCGTGAATATACAAACTACTCAGAAAGAAACAGTTTAAAAGAAGCCTATAATTATGTTATCACTTTGATTTTATACTATTAGTCTCCTACAACCCAAATAGCTATAACCATATATGCCTATCCACCTCCAAACATCCGTTCGGTAAAATAATAATGATAACGAGAAGGATGTCAAAGCTTTGCTCGTACAAACACATAGTTGACGGTATATGGGTTCAAGCATTTGTTACTTATTGCCACTAGATAAAATGGAAATAACTGGAGCTAAAGAAACACCTTTAACAAGCCTCCCTCCTCAATCAGTTTATATGCCACAACAAAATTTGGTTAAGAATACCAAATTCAGCTCAACGTTAAATCAATTTGACAAAGAATAGTATTGGAGAAGAGTCATCTAGTGACGAGTTCAACTTACCGTGCTGTCGAATTGTGCCTTAGTTGCTCCACACTTTAAAGCAACGGCAATGCCCTAAAATGGAAAACCAAAATTAGAACATCAGAGTTATGACTACAGTGTAGTTCACTCTATTCCTAAAAGCAGCTTATTGCAAGACAAAACGATGCATAAGGCCATCAGGCCTACAACATGCATTATAGTTTTACACTGACACATGGAGATAGGTATGTACATCAAAAGAACCAACAAATAAAGTACCTGCATAATTTCAGGTGCATCTGGCCCACACATAGATGCCCCAAGTACTTTATCAGTCTCCGCATCAACAACTAACTTCATTACTGTCTTTTCTTGCCGTCTAGAAGCAGAACATGAGAAATTTATGAATTGCAAAGAAAGAAAAATATTAGCGGGATATAAAAGAATTGTGCATGTGGTTGCTGGTCAAATGAACAAGGTAGTGGAAATATTGACATCTAGAATATTGGAACATATTACATGCTTTATTGACATTATATTAGATAAAAATAGAGGATTTTGAAAAGCATATTAGCTGTCAATGAAGGCACTGACTGAAGAAGTAAACTGAAAAACCCCAACCAAGCACATCCCAAATCAATAACAGAACCAAAAAAAAAAAATGTTTAGGTCTTGTGAAAATATTAACCCTTCCAGTCATCATCTTCATGCCCTAAACCCTAACAGGCTACATTGATATCATGAAACCACAACAATAACTATCTACATAGAATGCAAAATCGCTTACCACAACCACATTGCACAGGCTCTTCAATTTACCCTAAACTATCCATGTTGGACAGCTTAAATTTTTGTGGGTATGTAGCTTTGATCCTTGAAATAACAAAAACAAAAAAAAAAAAAAAAAACTTGCAGAAAAACGTGATGTCTCTAAGTCCAAAACCAAATCCAGAGTCCACATAACCTAGCCCCAAAAGTGAAAGATGGAAATAAAGACATGTGATATGACTCAATTGATGGTCTCTTTCAGAAAAAGGAAGGGACAGGGACAAAGACAGCTGCATGATTTTATTTTATTTTTCTGTAATAACATCCCAAATCATCATCATACCCAGATATAGTATTCTTCATTGGATTGAAGGTTGATGTGAAAACCAGAACATCACCATTTGCTTGCTCAATTGCCTGCTCTTCACTGAGACCAACAATGGAAAGTGGTGGTATGCTGCAAAAAAAGTGAATGAGCATAGCAATTAATTTACTAAAAAGAAAGAGGAATGTATAACAATGAATTAGATACTAGGCAGATCCAAAGATAAAATATGTACCTATGTCCAAGATAAAAACAAAAAAAAAAAAATTGTACAATCCTCTAAGAATGGATAAAAAACCTAATAACTACAAGAATTCTAAACCCTATAGTTCCCAGAAGAAAGAGATTTAAACATTATTTTTCATGACTGCATCATATTTTAATTTAAATTATTACATACACACACCACCCACCACCAGAGGCATGTTGTAAGAGAGAAATCATTACCTAAACACAGCACAAGGTACACTGTTATAGTCCGGTTTGCTAGATTCCCCACCAAAAACGGTTTTCTGCAAGCATTTTTTGAAAACAAAGAGAAAAGAAAAGGGAAAGATAAAACATTAAGTTTAATATGCTGCCATATGAGACAGGTGAAGCAGAAAGAAAAAGCCACGTTTGGTACACGAAAAATAAAAGGGCTTTGGACAAAACACTTACAGCAAAGCAAGTTCCCTCCATTAAGGCCACTGGAGTCAGGTTCATTCGATTTGTAACATCACCAACAGCCCATATACTGGGAATATTAGTACGTGAGTACTCATCCACCTGAAAAGATGAAGATGGTAGACCTCAGTGCTGAAATAAAAACTCATCTAGGTTATGCAACTTTTGTTTTCAGACAATGTGGGAGACCACACACAAAGCAATTAAAATAATTAAGTCAACTAAATATCTAACAAACCCTTCAAAATAAAAATTGGAATACTAAAGTCATCTTCATATAGATCAAAGATATGGCCTAAACGAAGTGCACAAACAAAGGAAATGCACCACAGACAACGTCACTTAAAGAAGGCCGTTTTAGCTTTACATAATATAATCCCCAAAAACAGACATGGTTCTTTCCACTGGCTTGCCTTCTTAAACATTTACAAGAAATAAGATTGCACATCCTATCTGGCAACAGTCAAAATCATTTGCCCAAAAGAAACAGGAAACTAGAAAAGTAACAGAACATCAGAACGCATGCTGTTAGTAAGATCAATCATAATGAAATCATAGCCATGCAAATTGACATTATCCATAGGCAATCCAGAGAGAAGATGCCAACTTATTACCAGAAAATAATTTAGTAATGTTTGATGATAAGAAACAAGAATAAAAGACAACAGAAAAAGTAACCTTCACAGCTCCTGTTTTATCAAGTTCAACACCTACAGCTTCCAAATTCAACCTCTTTGAGTTTGGTGCCCTACCTGTAACAAACAAAAGA